TTGGTGCTGGTCTGAGATCTGCTGTGCCTTGGTGCTGGTCTGAGATCTGCTGTGCCTTGGTGCTGGTCTGAGATCTTTTATGCATTGGTTCTGGTCTGAGGTCTGCTGTGCATTGGTTCTGGTCTGAGGTCTGCCGTGCAAAGTGTGCTTTGGTGCTGGTCTGAGGTCAAATGAAAGTAACACCCTACATGTCAGACATAGCACAACTGAGCCATACAATGCAGACACGGGGATCACATTAAAATTGTAAGCACAGTTTACTTTTCAGCACATGTAAATATGAACATATTTTGTGTGTACACCAGTTATTGTTTTTTCCACTTATAGTTTTGCTGCTAATGGCAAAATAAACACGGTTAAATAATTAGTGAGTTGAACTTATTATTAGCACTACAACTATGAGTGTAAAAATTGAAGTTTAACTAACACTACGGTGCGCTATTGTTCATCGGCACCCGGTTGTCTGATGGTTGCAAAAATGGCACTCGGCGTGTAAAAGGTTGCTGACCCCTGGACTAGTACATATAATCATTTTGAGACTTTTTATTTCCAAAATATGTTCTGTTCTGAATTGGTTAAATATGGCTATGTAGCAGGTATAGTAGTTCTAAGAATTTAAAGTTTCTTTGTTGCAAGATATGTAATGTGATGAAATTGTGTTTCAGGTCACCAACGTGGATGATGAGGGGACAGAACTGGGTTCTGGTATCATGGAACTAACGCAGACTGAGCTCGTCCTACACACCCGCAAGCGGGATGCTGTCAGGTGGCCATACCTGTGTCTACGCCGCTATGGATATGATTCTAATCTCTTCTCCTTTGAGAGTGGGCGGCGGTGTCAAACTGGTCAGGGTATGCTGTTTTTTCTGTTTTATGAACTGACATTTCTACTGCCCCTTAATGTCTCTCGGCTAGGCAGCATAAAATAAACAAATCAATTATCTAGTACCGTATTTTAGCTGTATATTTTTATTTTTTTTGTTATGTTTGGATGAAATGTATCATCTCTGTTGCCCAAAATAATTTTTTTGCTTGTTCCCTGAATTTTGTTATGTAGTCAGGTAGGCTGAAAAGACACATTTCTTCATGACATTCAATCATTACAATTCAACATCAAGAAAAAAAAAAAGTAAATAGGTGAAAAAAATTAAATGCCCTGGTCATTGATTTCATTATAGACAGGGATAGCTAGTTCATGCCCAGCTGTCCCTAGCAATATGTCTGTTTGGTCTACCACAGACCGAACTATGGCTTTCACGCTGATATTAGAATGTAGTGTTACCACCACTTGTATAGGATTTCCTGCATTATAGTTTACATCACTACTAGGTACACTTTTTGAGGGAGCAGCTGCAGTTCAATAAATAAGTTGCTGCAGCCTGGAGTGCAGTGATTCCTTTCCTTTTTCTGGCTGCAACTTTTAGGCTTGCCACCCTCTTTTCTTGATTGTACATCACAGGACACAGGGAGTTAGTTGTGGAACCAATGGGTTATCCAGCTACCTTCTGGCAAATCAAAGCTGCAAGGATAGCCCTGTACAACCCCACTCCCAGCCTGCCAGAGTTTTTTGCTAGTATTCTTCAGTGATGGATGCCTTCTCTCAGCATTGAGAGAAACACATTATTTTTTAGCACTTTATCTGCATCAAGACTCTTCTAGCAAGTTCCCTAAGCTGCTCACGACCACTGCTGCACTTCTCAGCAGCTATCCAAATCAGTTTTCTCCTGGCTAAGCCGTCAGCAGACTGTATGTGAATCCTCCCTTTGACACTTACAGGGTTATTCACAAAAGGGTGAAGAGTTTGGAGAAGACAGGAGAAGTGAACAATCTAGGACAACATAGCTGAACTTGAAAGTGAGCTGAATTGGAGAATTTTTCCAAATCAGCGATGTTGTCCTAGATCAGTGGTGGCGAACCTTGGCACTCCAGCTGTTTTGGAACTACAAGTCCCATGAGACATTGCAAGGCTCTGGCAGCAACAGACATAACTCCCAGAGGCAGATGCATGTTGGGATTTGTAGTTTTGGCACAGCTGGAGTGCCAAGGTTCGCCACCGCTGTCCTAGATTGTTCACTTCTCCTGCCTTCTCCAAACCCTTCACCCTGCTGTGAATAACCCTGTTAGTGTAGCATGTGGAGTAGCCACAGGATGAAATACAGGTCCCGGACTGTGGTCCATCTGCTGGTGGAGCCTTGTCCCTGAAGGGGCATGTCCCTTTAGTTGCCCATTGTTGTTTCTAAGTGTGACCAAAAGTAATATACTTTCTTACTAAATGTACTCGCATTTTATATATTGTTTTTTAGAGGACAGATAGGTACACGTTTGATATAATTATATAGCCCTAACGCCTCACTTAGTTTGAATAAAATATAAAAGAATGAGGAAAAAACATAAAGAAAACACTTTTTTCACAAGTTTTGATTACTTTTTTTTGAGAATTTTTTTAATAATAATTATAGTACAAAAAAAATCTGTATGTATGTATGTATGTATGTATGTGTGTATGTATATATAAGTGTGAACCAGGCCTTAGGCTGCTCCAAACTTAGTTGTGAAGGAAGGAACGAGAAGAGAGAAGGGGGGGGATGTAAGACTCGCTGTTTCATACACATTTCCTAAATCTCCTGTTAGCGTAAGCACACAATAGTAGGTGTTATCTTATCTGCGTTTATAAGCCTCATCATTCCATGTCTCTCCTGGTCAATGATCACTTAGTGACCACCTAGTCCTTCTGTCGTCATATTGGACGCAGTTTTGATCCGGTCTGTAACTGCTCTGCTCCTGGAACGCGCTTGGTGTGAACTAGCCCTAAGTGCCCATTCACACTGGGCGATTTTGCGCATATTTGCCACGCGATATTGCGAGAAGTCTCCGTCCGATGATTTTCAATGGAGCTGTTCTATTGTACAGCTACATGTCGCTTCTGCAGGACCCTTTTTCCCCGCGGATGTCGCGCGATTTTTCTATTTTTGCATGCAGCCCGACGGGTGAAGGTTACGCGATCATCGCCCGAACAGTCGCGCTATCCTGGCCACACGGATCCGCTCGAGGTAAGTGTCGCTTAGTGTGAATGGGGCATAAAGGTCTTTGATCCTGCTCAGACGATCAGAAGTGATACATTTCTGGCACAGAGATACATTGTAATATTCCTGTGGCTGAAATGTATCATAAACGTCGGGCCAGTCTATGGAGCTGTCAAAACAAATAGCAGATCGTCAGCTGTCAAAGCCTGGATCGCTATTTAGCGATCCGATATTTGTATGTAACGGCTTCATTCTTTCATTAATGAAAGAAAGAAGCTTTTACAAAAGCTTAACTATTTCATTAATGAATGCCTCAATACTGAGCCATTCATTAATGAATGGTAACCGCTGACAATCAGCGGTTACCAGCATTACAGAGCCTTAAATAACTCGTCACGTACAGTGTACGGGGCCAGTCATATAGGCACTTCGTGGCGGGATGTACAGTGTACGTCTCCCGTCACGAAGGGGTTTAACCACCTTCCGTCCATGGCCGTTTGTGAACGGCCGGACGGAAGTCTGCTAGGAGCGGGAGGGCGTCTTAAGACGTCCTGCCCATCCCCCCTCTCGTGTGCGGCACTCAGCACGCACACGAGAGGGGAAACTGTGAGCATGTAAACAGCCAGCGATGGCTGTTTACATACAAGCGATCAGGCGCCTCTAGAGACGCCCGATCGCTTGCAGGAGCTGCGGGTGTCACTCGGGTGCATTCAGTGTCACTCTCCAGTGCAGAACACCGGAGAGAAGCTGATGAAGCAGATCTCTGCTTCATCAGCTTCTGTGGGGGTCCCTAGGTGACATCAGAGGTCTTGGAGACCCCTGATGTCTCCACAAAGAGGACCTGTTTGGTGAACTGGCTATTACATAGGGGATTTCTTAATCCCCTATGTTATAGCAATAAAGTTGTGTAAAAAAAAAGTAACAAAAAAAAAAATTACAGCATTAAAAAAAATAAAGAAGGTAAAAAAAATATTCACAAATAATAATTAAAAAAAATAACACAAAAAATGTTTTAAAGTCCCCCGCCCCAGCCACATACACATGCAAACATGCATCGGGTGCGCCTATGTACGAAAACGACGATTGCGCCCATTATGCAGCACATGTTAAATATCGCCGCGAACGCCGGAGTGAGAGCAATAATTTTAGGGCCATCAATCACTGATAACACTAAACTGATGAGCGGTAAAAACGTTTAAAGTGTCGCCTATGGCCAATTTTGGTTGCGGTCGTTTTCTGCGATTTTGCGGGCGCGCACATTTTTAAAGGTTGACTATTTACCCGACGTGACCCCGTCTTTTATATTATACCAAAAAATTGGGGTGAAAATAAATGTTTCATAACATTTTATAGGGAAACATGTTTTTTTTCAAAATTTAGGGTACTTTTTTTGGACTATAGTAAAAAATAAAAACCCCAGTGGTGATTAAATACCACCAAAAGAAAGCTCTATGTGTCCCCAAAAAATGGTAGGAAATTCGTATCAGTACAGCATTGCATGACGGAATAAACGTCAGTCAAAGTACCGCAGCGCTGAATACTGAAAAATGGCCTGGCCAGGAAGGGGGTGAAACACCCCGGTCTTCAAGTGGTTAAAAAATATGACCCTTTAGTAATTTTTACACAGGCATTCAGCATGTGGAGTTCTAAGCAAGTCTCAGCAGCTGTTGCGCTAAACAGAGACCTGCATGAGGAAATCCATGTTAAACCCAAAACAAATATGCAGTTTGGGGGGTTTTAACTTTACTTGGTGGTTAATTCTTTCAGGTCCGTTACCCTGTAAGTACTGCAGCCAGAGACAGCCAGGTAGCCAACATTTTCAAAATTAGGTCAGTAGCAGTAGCTTTGGTATTTCTCTCATGACATGATATGTCATCCTGTCCATCTAACATAGTTTTTCTTCTCAGAGTGATAAACCTGTATTTTTTTATTCCAAGTTAACATGTAATGTCTTAAAAGAAACCTCCTAAATGGGAAGCTCAATTTCTCGTGCACCCTTCTAGACAATGCTGTAGACGGATGGTAGAGGCTGAGCAGGGCTTTTTACAGCCTTTCCCTAAGCTCCTGCAGTGCAATGTGCTGTCAAGCTAAAGGGTTGTGGGCAGATCACGCCTGGCTATTTGCTCTTAGGGCTATTAACAGGGCCACATCTCAGCCGGTACTTCAGCAGCAAGAATGACAATGCTGCAGTGAAAACTGTTATTACCCTATGAAGAGAAGTGTATGTCCAATGGTTTTACTAGAAGGATCCATAAGTATATACAAAATGTTTTGGGTACAAAGGGGGGTATTTATTAAAGCCCAGTTTTTCTGGTATGTGCAGCCTGCATCATGTACGTGATTTAATTTTAAGCAATTCCTTGTGATCATGTTATCGCTGCTTACTCTTCTTAGCTTTATCCCTTTTGCTTCCCCTAGGAATATTTGCGTTTAAATGCAGCCGGGCTGAAGAAATATTTAACCTCCTGCAAGAACTAATGCAGCGAAACAGCATCAGTGTAGTAGAAGAGCCAGTTATGATCACCAGGACTGGACATCCAGTGGAAATGGACATGTCTCGTACCCCCCAGACCCCTGGAGGTGAGCCAGACTTGAGACCAATGCAACTGCATATGTTTTTATTTTGATGTTTAGAACTGTAAGCTGCAGAGCCACAGATGTATGGATAATCATACAAATACTTCCAGAAGTAATAATGGCCACTTTTGCACTGAAGTGGGTAAAGAGGCTTGAACATTTCGTTAAACTTGTACAAAAAAAAAAAGCATCGTTAGAACAGTCACTTCCGTTTAGCTTAGCTCGCCTTTCCTGTTTCTTTCTGCTGCCCAGATCCCTGCCACATTCTTGACATCCCCTTTTAGTGAATGTTTTTTCTCTTCAATCAAGACTTTTAAATAGCTGCTTGAGCCAGTCTCTACACAGCAGCTATCTGGATCCTCTGGAGCTAATCCTTGGCGCTGCCTTGGAGGTCGTACCTGGACCCTCCTGGACTGAAAATTGTGGGGCCTGTCTGGAATGTGACCTTTCAGGCACTGGGTTCTTCCAGTGGTGCTTTAAATCCAAGTTTGAATTACCTGGAAAAAAACTCTGGCCTCTTCTGGCTGCTACTCTTTGCAATTCCATGTCTCAATGGATCACACCATTTTAAAAAGGATTTCTCTGACTTGCAACTTGTCGATCAGTTGTCTAAAACCCTCAACTTTATCACCTTTTACAGTAATGTCTTTCCATATGCGTAGAGCACTATGGCTATGTGCTTCAAACATTGCCATTTGTTCATTCAAAGTCTCATTCACTTGCCTTTTTAAAGGAAGGCTTTTCTTTGGTAATGCACTTAACACAGACCCGAACCTCCTGATATTTGCTGTTGACTTTTCATCCGTAAAGATCTCTTATTGAACTGGGAAAAATATCAGTCTTCAGCTAGCACAGCTATATCCTCTTGTAGGAGACCTAAGTCTGTTTTCCATGCAAAACGTAGTTCACATAGCCACAGTGTATAAGGGAACATTGTTTTTCTTACTTCACAGAGTCTCTTGAACCTCTTTTCATTCTATTTGAATGCTTATGGTTTACCCTGCAGCTTCTATACTACTCCCTGCAACCTGTAATTTTTTTCCTAATTACTTGAAAGCTCTCCCTTAGTGTCTTAGATATTGACCTTTTATCTATATTGAATATTATCCCCTCTCATTTTGAGTGCACAACCAGGTTTCGGATTAACATCTAAAATATGCAATTTCTCATTTTGCTACTCTTGGGTCTGCTACTCTGCATCAGTCAATTTTCCAAGCAGTATTGGAATATCTGTGTGGGTCAGTTTTTTTTGTTTTTTTTTTAATCTATCGTCCTCTGCACTTAATGAAACTAGTTGTTTACTTCACCGGGGTGTGGAATTCCTATCGCCCGATGCCCGGGACATGTAGTTTCGGGCACCGGGCGAGTAGTTTTAAAGTACATTCAGCCCGGCTCCGGACAAGCAGAGCTGAATGTACATTGTGGAGCCGCCGCCGCTCGTTTAATACAAGTGATCTGATCAGACCACTTGTATTAATTTGAGCAGCGGCGTTCGTTTCTGCCCGCACCCCCCGCCGTAGTTTTCGGGGTCGCCCGCTCTCCCGGGGGACCCTGAAAACTAAGGCTCAACGGCTCAGCCATAGAGCCCATAGAGCAGACGAAAAACGTCTGCTCTACGGGCTCTCTGTGTGTTCTCTCAGACCGTGGCGCTGTAATCACAGCGCCACCTGTCTCGGCTGTCATGAACTACACAGAACAGCTGTTCTGTGTTGGAGGGCAGGTTCCATAAAGAGAACCTGTCACCTCCAAACTATCACATAAGGGATTTTAATCTCCTATGTAATAGGAAGAACATTTAAGGGGAAAAAGTAAATAAATAAAAAGTTAAAGAAAATTTAAAAAGTTAAAAAAATAAAATTATGTAAAGATTTAAAAAAGTAAAAAATAAAAATGAAAAAGTAAAAAATAAATAAAAATGAAACCCTGCTACCCCCGCCAACTGCATGCAAATAAATGCATGCGTAGGACATTCTGCATGTGCTTTGAGATTGCAGCTGCCATTCCATGGTGGTAGCCAGAATTCTCTTACACACACATAATGTGCATTAAAGGGTAAGTTCATTTTCCCAGGTAATATGGAAAAATAAAAATTACCCGATGAAATCTGGCCCTGTCTCTCCCAAACCGCCACCCCCCTGGCTATACTTACCTTTCGGCGAACAATCCCTCCCCTCCGCCAGTATGGGTGTACTATCTGTCCCCCGTACTGCTGTCCAGCGCAGTCCTCCCCTATGCATTTTGAATTTCGCTCGCAAATTGCAAGCACTCATTGGTTAACGTGGTCAGATGACTGCGCTGACCAGTGATAAGCGCTATTTAGCACAGTAAAATATGTTTTGATTAGGGGTGCACCGATACTAGTATCAGTGCCGATACCGAGTATTTGGGCAAGTACTCGTACCCAAATGCTCCGATACCTTCCTCGATATTGGAACTTACGGCCAGATGAAAATTCCCTCTGACTGGCAGTGCCGTAGGGGGAACATGGAGCCAGCTTCCCGTGCAATCAGGAAGCCGTGCGGCAAGTAATGACCCGCCTCCTGGTTTTCTGATTGGCCCGGGAAGCCAGCTCATTGCTGATTGGCTGGAAAGCCGGCTTTATGGCCAATTGGCTTTGAGCCAGTTTCCCGGTCAATCAGGTCATAACTCGCCACCCGGCTTCCTGATTGACCGGGAAGCAGGTTTCCCGGCCAATCAAGCAGGCCAAACAACATGGAGCCGGCTTCCGTGGCAATCAGGAACCTGGGCGGGATGTCATTACCTGCGGCCCGGTTTCCTGATTACCAGGGAAGCCTGCTCTATGTCAGCGGAAGCACCGGTATTAGTATTCAGTGTTGGCAAGATCCGAAAGCAAAAAATCGGTACTCATACTCGATACCGAAAAGCCGGTATTGGTGCATCCTTAGTTTTGATTAAAACTATTTTTTGTATTGGGACAAGTAGATTGTCGTGAAGGAAAGTAGATTTGGCCCCCACTTTAGCCCTTGGAAAGTAGTTTTTAAAAAATTTCCACACCCCTGCTTCACTGCTGTCTGCTTCTTAATAGTAAATGTGTTCAGTGATGCTATTTGTCTTTCACACCACTTCTATGCAGATTCCTATCACAGGATACCTGTATCTGTATTTTTATTTGTACAGTAAATGCTGCACAGTTCAAGGATCTCTACTACCCCCACTCACAGGGAGTTTTCCCTTTTGTTACTTCTGCCCTTCTCTGGAAGATGGACAAGCCCAGCAGCCCTGTTGCTTGACTACAATTTTTCCTAGGTTTGAAAATAAAGTCAGTGGATCCTTATAGCATATATTGGCATGAGAAAGCTCCCCTTTCTTTTTACATCATACTTATTTATCATATATAATTAGACACCTTGTATTGTGTCTATCACAACTCTGTATATTTTTTGGTTTGAATTGGGAAATTCTTCCTTTCATCCATCATCTCTCAGCTACCCACCTATAAATTTTTGTATGGGACACACTTGTCCCATACTCCTCCTTTCCCTAATTACTAGGGTTGGCTTTCATAGGTCTCAGCCTTTATCTTTAGAATACACTACTGTTTTTTGTTGTTGACCACTTTAACTATTGGTTTAAGTTGCTTCTATCTAATTGTTATTCTTCTGGTGGTTGACTAGTTGTAGCTCAACAAGAAGTGGAGGACATCATTATTCAGATAGTAGTCTCTCCATATGGTGCTACCTGTCTGTCTTTGGATAACCAGATTCTTCTTGGTTTTTTTTCCTCCTTAGTAGCAAAGTAGTTGCTACCCCTATTTGTCATCGAGCTTGCTTCAAGCATAAATCCTTTCTGATTTTGTTCCAGTTCAGATTTCACATCGAGTAGAACTATGTGGCTATTGGCAACCCCTAAGTGGATGTCCCATTAATATCATAATAACTACTGATCCTTTTTCTCTTAATAAACAAAGAAAAGCGGAATATTGTTCTTGCCATAAAATCCATTTTTTGGAGTTCCTTTATGGACACCCCTTCTTGGCCTTATGTAGTGCTTGCTCACAAAACTAAGGCATGATCATTTTTAGGCAGGGTGGTATGGGGGCTGGCTTGACATTTATTTGTTTGCCAGTGTCCAAACCTCTTGAAAGCAGCACTATAACCCAGCAATAACAAAATATTACTTCATGTGTTCCTATGGATTTTACAATAAGTACGAACATCCTGTTATTTACTATATGGCCTGAGATATTGGAGAAGGTTAAAATACACAACAGTTGTATTTAAAGGTATCTGAGCTAACTTACTATATCTTTTTCCATTGCTTTTAAAAATGAAAAATGGTTTTGGAAGGGTCACATTGATCTAAACAAAATCATGGAAGGCCCTTTTAAGCATATATTGAAGTTGTATTGACTTTAAATATTTCCTGTATGACAATATTAGAGAAGCCGACCAATGTGCATATTGCATGTGCTAGACAGAGGCATTTAAATACCTTTTAAACTTTTTTTTTTTACTCTGCGCTATTAAGGTGTTTTGCTATTTTTTTTGCTATCTCATCTTAGAGTACTGTGCAGAGAAGCTGTTGTAAGCTCCTTATTGCACCCTTGTCACAGCTCTTTTGCAATTTCAATATAGCAGCTGTGTATATTTCAAATATTGGGTCTGGAGAAGTGTAGAGTGTGCCAATGTAATAAGTTATCATATGATCTCATCCTTCCTTTCCTATTTGGCTGTAATAGATTTTTCTGTTGGCTGACAGATCACTGTCATTGCATATTACAGTGAGTTGTCAGCCAAAAAAAAAGAATAATTTAAGTAAATTGGGAAAGAAGGGATGTTGCAGTTGGTGGAAAATCATGTGGAAAATCATGTGGAAAATCATTGTTCCACTTGATTTTTGCTGGGTTCTAATTGATCAGCTTCTTGATGATTCAAGTTGTGTTCCCTTCCATATGGAGCCATCTCCCCCCTTGACAGTGACCTTTTCCTTCTGGTCTGAGCTTCAGGTTTATTATCCATACCCTCCCTCTGGTTTTGTTGGCCTATCTGGTAGGGGGGGCTCAGCCTCTTCCAGTTCAGATTTTGTCATTGATCCACCCTGAATTGCCCATCCCTCAGCTGGACTACTTTTGGAAATTCTGACTGCATCTGAATCCCTGTGTCCCTCAATAGGATGTTTGTACATACCATAAAAATCTTTTTTTCTTGGAGTTCTTTGTGTTTCCTCTGTGTTTCATTCATGCTCTTGGTACTGCTTTAACCAAAAATTGAGGAATGCTGGGTAGAGGAGAGGTTATGCAAGGGCTGGTTACAATTTTTCTTTTTGCCAGTGTCTAATCCTTTTTTAGACGAAAGTATAACACGCCAGTATCTTAATTCATGTGTCCCTCATTGGACTCCTAGGAAAGGATTTATGGTAAGTACAAACATCCTAATATAAGATGTAATATTTATTTGGTTACAAAATACTTTTTAAAAATATTTTTTTACAGAACAGAAATGTAAAACAAAACATTGCATTCACTTAACTTTTTTTTTTCTCTTTTAATTATATTTATAACTGAAGCTTTGGGATACACAGGTTTTCCCAATGGGTTTCATAATTTTCCTCGGGATGGACCATCTTACCCATCTGTACGCCACCCATCAATGGGAAACCTGAGGCACCCTTCTCATGGAGAGGAATCTGCGCATGGCTTGATTACACCAGATGACCAGGTACCATTCGTTTTACAAATTTTTATACTTGTATGTTTAAGGAGTTCAATTCTGTTCCCAGGAGTGAACATGCTGAACTGAAAAAATGTCATGTGCACACATTGGTGGATGGACTTTTGCCATAATATGCAATGATGCACAGCATATTTGTGGATTATGGCACACTTACCTCCTAAAGCTTCCCCCTCCTGCAATGTGCTTTACTTTCTCATGTCAGAACTCCCAATGGCTGGTGGAGTAAAATTTACGAAGCAGCAGGGGCAGTGTAGAAAGCACAGATCCACAGAATGAATGAATGAAGTAAGATTCTTGAACTGCTAATTCTCAGGTACCGCCATCTTTCCAGCAAAGAGACCATAAGCAGCAGAATATTGACATCACCAAATATCACTTCAAATCTTGTGACTAGCAGGCACAGGCAGCGGTGCTTTAGATGATCTCACATTGCAAATTTACAGAACAAATAAAATAAATAAGCACAGTAGATATTTAGGGGACAACATGGTCAGAAGAATTGGTTTTATTGTTCCAAACAGGAGAAATGGACACTGGCAAATAAAAGCTTTAGGGCAGTCAGGATATAACCCATCCCACTCTAATCATGCTTCAGATTTAGCTTGTGTCCTTAGGGGGATGTATATCCTTCTCCTCAGAGAGAAGAAAACCGATTTTACTTAACAATTCTTTGCTTTTATCAAGGTGTTTTTTAAATCAACCTTTTTCATTAATTGCAGAGCTATGAGAGCTCATTTTGTAGTGTTCCGCTTTGGTTGATTCTCAGCTCTGCCTTGAAGGCCCTTCCTGGACCCTGCCATGATGTAGACCCAGGGCTGGCCTGTAAAGTAACCCTTGGGCAATGGGTCCTTCTTATGGTGCTTGTTAAAGATGTCACCAGCACACCATATTGAAGTAAAGAACACGTCTGTTTATTGACACTTCATGTCAAAACAAATAACGTTTCGGGGCCACACAGTGTCCCCTTCATCAGACTTAAAAACACTTGACAATACAGCTAAAGAAAACCGATCTTATGTAGCTAAACCAACAGTGCAAATGAACAGAAAACCACTCCCACCAACCCCCTGACATCACTGTGACGTCATGCTCCCGCCAAAAACAACTCAAAAACTTTTTGTAATTTAACATGAGGACTGTGTGTATATCATTGCCATAACCTTTAATGGAAGCATATCATAAACATATCAAACATGACCTAGTGAAGATGTTCCAGAAGAGAATAAAAATTGAATGAAGTAAAGCCATACTGTTGGGATAAATGAGTGCCAAAACAGATTAACAGCAATTGGAAACAAGTACAGCAGGATGGTTGCAATCCAGGAGCTGGCCAACTCTCCCCTTTTGAATGAGCGTTCTAGGTTTTAGGGTTGCCTTCTTCGAGGCAGTTTCATCTGATCAATTCCATTCCAAACTATTGCAACTCAACATTTTGGCCTCATGGGACAAGAAGCTACATTATGTGAACAGTCACATGCGTCTGACATCCAAGACTAGGTTATCCCTGGTGTGGTAGCTCATGAATCTTTTATCAGTCTGGGATATCGTCATGACAGATGCCAGCCTTATAGAATGGGGAGGAGTCGTGGAAAGGTTGGACGGAGAAGACAGGTAACGGACGTGACTTTCTTATCTCTGTACGTTTTGTTTATTTTAACACTGCGAACCTACGTTTGTTAGGGACAATGCACAACATTAAGACATTATGCCTTATCTTGACAGAATCTAAGCACACTTCTTACGATTAAATCAGTTGTAGTTCACATGTAAAAGTACTGTGTATGGTATGGTGTCAGTTTTGAATGTTCTAACGGGAATGTGACGTCACAATGACATCAGAGGGGTGTGCTCTGTCCACTCTGGCTATTTTGATTGGTTTACACTGTCTTTGAGTTAGTATATATGGTTCTGGGTTTCTTGTATTATGTTAAGCCTGATGAAGGGGACTCTGCGTGGCCCCGAAACATTGCATTTTTGGATATGACAATATGCGTGAATAAAAGACGCTTTATTTTGGACGTCATCCATTGGTGTGCTGGTGACATTTCTGATGTACAATGGAGAGGTTGGGAACGCCGAATTTGGACCTCCTGGCTTCCAGTTTTAACAACATGCAGAACAAGTTTGTGTCTAGGTCAAAAGATTCTCTAGTAATGGCATTGGATGCTCGGGTGGCTCTGTGGGATCAGTTGATCTACACCTTTTCCTCCACTGAAACTTCATATCTTTTTGTTCTTCAGGATCACTCCAGTTCAGACTAAAGATGGCCATACTCTGTGTGAATTTCAACTGGTTCTTCATGAACTGGCTGAAATTCGCACAGTGGGTGTGGCTTTCAGCACCCTTTTGGCCAGCATCCCTCGATCAGCTGATCGAAGGAGCCATTTGGAAAATCTTCAAACGGAGTGGGTAGCCAATGAGCTGCCTGCACTGTTCTGGTATTCTGATAGCGGCTGGCAGCCATTACACCTGAAGACAGTGGCAGTTTCCTCGATCAACGCTCATAAGTGTTGATGGAGGAATCTGTAAGATTTTTTTCATTTAGCCTGCAGGTTGAACAAAGAGAATGTTAGTGTAAGGCCAGCTTTAGACCTCAGCAGACTTCTGACACACTCTTAGAAATTGACCAGATCCTCTTTCCTAAGGACTGGTTAATGACCCTGGATCACAGTCCTTGGCTTTGACAGCATAGCTGTTGAAGGCCAGGTCCAGAAGGATAGGGGCTTATCTGATGCTGGTATTTCTAAGCTCCTCAAAGCTAGGAAATGCCATCACACATGAAAGCATACTTTGCATGGTGTGAAGCCTTTCTCCAATCAGACTACTATTAAAGTACTATTAAAGGACAAATCTCAACATTAGAGATTCTCTTTAACTGCCTCCGGGCCGGCCGTAGTAAAAAAACGGCCGGCCAGGAGCTCTCTGGATCTGAGCGGGCGTCTTCAGGCGTCCGCTCAGACACGCCCCCTTGCGCGCGCCGTCAGCGGGAAATGGACGCAATTTAAAAACGGGCAGCGATGCCCGTTAATATACATGCGAATTTGCCTCTCATTTTTTGATAAAGGCTTTTGTTCAGGGTATTGTTCACATAGTTTATCCTGTACATCTGATAACTCGATGGGATCTCAATCTGGTTCTGTCGGCTCTTCAGAAACTATGCTTTGAAGATTTCAGAGGTATTTCACTGTTCACACTCTCCCACAATGTTGCCTTTCTTATTGCCATCACCTCCATGAGGTGAGTTTTCTGAGTTGGTGGCCCTCTTTTGTAAAGAACCCTTTCTGGTTTTACACAGAGGCCAGGTTGTCCTAAAGCCTAGGAACTCCTTCCTCCCAAAGGTTTCTTCTTTTCACCTTAACCAGAACATTGTAATCTCTCTGTCCTGCCCCAGTACATCCCAAGGAGATTTCCACTCTTTGTATGTGGAGCAGGTTGTTCGAGTTTACCTCTTAACTACTTATTCCTTCAGACTGACTCTCTATCATTCTTCATCCCTGCATGGGACAGCCTACTCTCATTCTACAGTTTCTAGGTGGATTAGACAACTAATGATTTATATCATTTGACTTAAGGTTAACGTTCCACCTTTTTCAAGGCACATTGTACTAGATCAGTAAAAGTGTCTTGGGCTTTTCAGCACCAACCTTCTGTTTCCTGGATTGCCACCTGATCTCTGATGCCAGCCTGACACACTAGCCCCCAGTTTTCCTGTTTTTTGTGGGTCTGTTAGTGTTTTGTTTGCTGTGTTACCCTCCCCTCTGTTGGACTGCTTTTGGATGTTCCATACATCTCAGAATCCTTTTGACCCTGTGTCCATTAATTAACTCCAAGAAAAGGATTTTGCAGTAAGTCAAACACCTGTTATTTGCACATATAGGGATAGAAATTCTATAGGAGATATTTCCATTCTTAAAAAGCCAGTTGTGCAATGGAATGAGAAAAAAAAATATTGAAGCCTTTGCTGCCTATGACATTTGAAGTTCACTGCTTTTAAGAGAGAAGACTTACTGTGTTATTCACAAAAGGGTGAAGAGTATGGAGAAGGCAGGAGAAGTGACCAATCTAGGACATAGCTGATTTGGAAATATTCTCAATTCAGCTCACTTTCCAGTCCAGCTATGTCAGGGGTCAGCAACCTTGAACACTCAAAAGAGCCATTTGGACCCATTTCCCACAGAAAAGAAAACACCGGGAGCCACAAAACCCTTTTGACATCTAAAATGAAGATAACACTCCATATATCATTTTTTACCTTTTATGCTATGTATAGCATGTATATAAGTATACTGTATGTGGGCTTAGTAACGCACTGGACTCATCTGCCAAGCCTCACAGCCAGCATCCCAGCCAGACAGTGTGCAATGCAGGGAGCAGGGCATGTGACACACACTTCTCGCCCGCCGCCTGTTACTAGGGACGCGACCGGAAGAGGAGGTGAGTCACCTGCCCCCTTACTGAGAAGCCCGTCGGCAGTGCGGGGACCCTGCACTGCCGCATATTCCACCAGGGGGGGTGCCCAGGACCGGACCTCACTGGGCCCCACAGCCTCAGGCAGTAGTTCCGCCCCTGGACAGGGAGCCGCAGCAGAGGGATGAAAGAGCCACATGCGGCTCCGGAGCCGCAGTTTGCTGACCCCTGAGCTATGTTGTCCTAGATTGTTCACTTCTCCTGCCTTCTCCAAATTCTTCACCCTTCTGTGAATAGCCCTGTTAGTAAATCACCCATTATAGACTTAATCAAAGAGAGAACAGTAACCCTAAACAACCAGAATTTGTCAGTGAAGCAGGACATGTTCATGGTTAGATGTTTAACACTGCACTTCTCAAATGCTGGCCTACACAAACTATTAAGATGTGCAATAAGTAAGCATTTTTTTTCCAATTCCTGCAGTCTTCTTGTGAATGCCAGAATTGGTACGTCACCATATTATATATTGTATTGTAAAGTTGCTCCGGGCAATTTATCCTACATTTTCTCTAACGTTAAACTTGGGTCAAGCAGCCCCGGAAAAATCTATCCAGCAGAAAAATTAGTCATTCATAGGCTTACACGTTTCATTGTTCCATGGTCTCCTATTTATTTTTGCATTTACATGTTTTGGCTTATTTTGAACGGATTATTTTGAAGGGATTATTTCCCTGTAAATTTAATGCATTGTCTCTAGTAAAACTCATCAGGAAGAGAGCAACATCCATTGTTTATCACTTCAATGATTTTGCTGCTGCCAGAATAGTCGATCTTGTATTGCTTGCCATCATGTCGTGTCTGCTCCAAGGAAGAACTTTAAATTTACTTTAACTGTTACTTTAAAATGTTTATCATGGCGTTAAGGTTAAATTTAGAGATCCGGTTACGCTTTAAGATTCATGTGAGGTTATGGTGCTGCAAGTGTGGAGGAGACTTTTTTTAAAACTTGTTTTCGGTGCAGAAAGTTTCACACCATGAACTTTCAGGCACCACGTTCTCCGCTGAATAAGCATTCATACTGCTATTTTAATGTGCACCATGGTCACTTTGATAGATCTTATTGTTTTACTTATACTATCAGATGTGTGTCTGTTCCAAAACTGCCAAGATTTGCGTTGTTACATTCAATGCTAAAGAAATGTCTTAGCAGGCAGTATGTGCAGGAGAGGAGTGTGTGTGTGGGAACATACATATTGAGTGCTAAGGGGTTAACATACATTATCCACTAACATACATTGGGTACTGAGTGCTCAACGGCTAACATATATGAGCTCGGTATTGGGTGGTGAGAGGTTAACAAACATGAGTTGAGAACTGAGCATGGAGGAGATAAAACATATGCCCTGGGGACTGAGCACTCAGGAAATAACACACAAGGGCTGAGGATGGGTGTCAGGTGCGATGGTGAGTGCTGGTGGGGTGTGGAAGCATGATGGTGAGTGTAACCTCCGAAAGGAGCTGACAGCTGTACCTCCAGCTAGCAGCAGTCCCCCAGGTTTGTTAGTGCAAGCTGCATGGCCAGGGGTCACAGTGCCTGCATGAGCCACAGGAGTAGCCAGGGGGGCAGAGAGGTGGTGTGACCTGGAGGCCCAGAAATTAGATGTCTAAGTTGCAGAACAGACGCACCTGCTCTAGTGCTGTAGATGTTCTTCCTGCTGGATATCACTGTTGCATCCTTGGGATATTCTGAAATGGTGCCAATACCTGACACATGTGCAATAGTGACACCGTGTTATTACCTACCTGTGCTAGGCTTCAGCACGATTTTGGCTTATCCCAATGTTTTTCTCAACACAGAGATTCTTTTAATATCATCAAATTTTTTTGTTTCAGGTGTTTAATAAATTACAAACTGTAAAACATCTTTTTTCTTAGCGTATTTAATCTCATTACTGGCCATTTTAATAAACCATATTTTAAAAAAAAAAAGGTCATCTTTTATACAGAACAATGTAACAAATACTTGATGTGGTATAATGTAATTTGGCTGTGATCTCCCTCACAGGTTAGGCACCCTTTCCGAGAGGGAGAAAAGAGCTTGCCGCAGCTTATTTTGTTTACATTTATTTGTGCTAAGTTCACTGATTCCCTGTCACTATCAAGTCCTAATGGTGTTATAGGTCGCGCATCTGTGGATCTTACATTAGGTTAAGGTAGGCAACCTCGGCACTCCAGCTGTTTTACAAGCTGGAATTACAAGTTCCACGAAACATTACGTGCCACAGGCATGGTAACTGAGGCTTAATGGGATTTGTAGCTTCACAAAAGCTGGAGTGGCAAGGGTGCCTACCTGGATTAAAGTGACATTAAACCCTCAGATTTTTTTAACATAAACCAATACTGTAACAATGGCTTTATTATGGAGGCATCTAGTTTTAAGGAAAGCATTGTTTACCTAAATTTTAAAAATGTCTGTCTATATATGTATGTATGTGTATGTATATATACATAAATATTATATTCATATATTCTCTTTAAATGTTTTTTTTTTTTTTTTTCCAGTCGCATACCTATGTGAATACAGCCAATGGTGAAGAGGAAACAGGTGGGCGACATTGCATGCACTCTTTGCCTGAGGCACATGCGCCATACCATGAGCCACCAAGGCACATGCTTGGCTCAGGTTGCTCCATTGAAGAACGTAATCCCCAGGTCTTTTTGCAACCAGGAGAAGTGAAGTTTGTGCTTGGACCAGCACCAGCCTATAGACGAATGCCTCTAAGGGCAGACAGCTTCTGTAGACACCACAGGGACTGTCAGGGCCATGTCTGTGCAGGTGACAGAGAAGCAATACCACCGCACAACAATAACAATGAATGCAAGGATCAGTGGGGATCACACAAGTGTGCATATGAAAATATCAATGGCCTAGTACCACCAGGAAGTATAGCTGTTCGTAGGGGGACTGGGAGCAGGGGCCTCAAGTTGTCGGCGGAAGGTCTGCCATACAACAGCTGCTCACATCGCAGGACGGCAATGTTACACTATGAGAATCTGCCCCCCCTACCCCCCGTTTGGGAGTGCCGATCCATGCACCCTGTTGAAGATGATGAAGATGACGAAGAGGAGGAGGATGATTCTGCAGATACTATGACTCCATCACTTAATGGTTACCATGATGACCCTGTTCAAAACTATGTGAATGCTGAGAGCGCCACTGCATGTGGTGGTTACCACCACCATCGTCCAGACTGTCAGCCACATAGGAGCTGCCCATCTAATGTCTTCAGCTTTGATTTCCGACGGCCACGTGCAGAGCAAAGGCAACTCAACTATATCCAGGTGGAGCTCGAGGGGAAGGGTGAGGGCAAAGGGAGACAAATCCCTCAGATTACTTGTACCCCAGCTCCAAAGCATCCGCCTCGTTGTGGAGACTCTTATGCTGTCATTGACCTCAAAAAGACAGCTGCTATGTCCAGCCTACAGAGAGCTATGCCCCGGGATGATGGCACCTCAAGAAAAACCCGACATAATAGCACGGACCTTCCCCTGTAAATTATACTGGTTTTAGTGTTGTCTCTGATCTTTTACAAAAGCCATCTCTACGGCTCTTTGTTTCCTATATCTCCTTACTGTAGTTTGTGCAGGTTCTGTTTGTTCCTCTACAGAGCAAACCTTCTAATACTGAACAGAATGTGAACACTCGTTTATCAAGAGGAGAAAAATGGAGGGATGGTTAACAGCTACACAAGTATCCTCCATATATTTCCTCTGTACAACTGTGGCCACCTGAACGTCTGACTTATGACTGCGACCATGTTGGCATCTTGATGAAAATGTTCTTGTTGAGTGAAATTTTTGTGCTTATTTTTAACATTCATTTTGCTTTTTAATTTATTTTTGTATTACTGTTGCATTTGTAGATGCCATTTTCTGCATTTACTGATTAATTTATTTAACTTATTTTTCTATTTATTTTTGTAAACATCCCATGCTATATTGTGCCCTAAAAAATCATACTGGCTTTGAAGCAAATGCTTAAGGTCCCTATTCTGACCAATGTGCTTTATGGATTTGAACTTTGTACCTCTTGTGAGAACATCAGGACATTAGCATGTGACAAACTAAGAAATGTATATACCCCTTGATTGCATTGTCGCATAATATAGGTTAATATTGAAAAAAAAGCCGTCATCCGCATTTGAAAAGAAAGTGGTGTGTGTGAGTATAATTTTTTATTTTTTGTGTGTATGTGTGGGCTGCGTGTGTGTAAAGTGTATGTGTATAATGTACAAAATAGTGAAATGGGGAGAACTTAACCTTTTCAGAGGCTGGAGGATATTTACTGGATGCCATGCCCATATTTTGCATTTACTTGAATGAAAAGTGCCAAATATTTATACTTGTGCCATTTTAAAATAAATCCTTCTATGTACTGTTACTTAACATAACTCATTGGTCACGCTTGAGGTTTCTCACATGTACATAGTGTACAGATAGAGAAAATAGCCAGTGTCAAACTCGCTGAACAGCACTCTAGAGGATGGGTATTCTACACATTTTCTCACCTTATCTTAAATGAATGTTTGTAAACCTAGAGATTTAAAGAGTAATTCTATCTTTCTGAAATTATAGTTATTCTGAGGCAGGAAAAGGGTATTTGCCTAGTTTGTAAACAGTGATTAATATGCATGCATGAATGATATTTAAGCATTTTAGGGAGCCATCGCTTTACTGAAGTCATCATTTTTCTGCATATGTCTGTTAATCACATAAATATGACTTTTTCTCCTTTTTTAAAACCAAATTAGAACATTTTCACTACACTGTGAGCACTTGGACATCATATACTTGACTCTCCACACAGTTAAATATCATTATTGTCTGTTACTTCTTCCCAAGTGCATATTAAAGATTACCTTGTCAACAGACCATCCATTTTAACAAAAATCCCTTCCCATAAGATTACATGTGCATTTAACATATTTTATGCATGTTATTTTTCTGTGAAGGCCTCCCTTGTGTAGACACCCAAAAGCCCTAAGGCTGCTGTAGATGCCACCATCTTGGATGTGAAGTCAGCAGCCTCAGCAAGCTCAAAGCTGTCACTCAAGTGACACTCTATATTAGCCCCCATTAATTCTTACCCAGAAGCCACATAAAAGGTTAGGTAGGGAGGTGAAGGCAGGGGCTGAGGAACTAAGCCAGCACAGTGAGTAATTAGACACTTTCAGAAGAGGAGAGGGCTATGACATGCAAGTAGGGTGGTGCTGTGCTATGGAATTGACTCTTTCCGGAGAAATACAATTTTCTATCAAATGTAAAGGCACATTGCAAGTCAATAAAAAAATATTTATTGAAGGGAAAAACACTTTAAAAACCATGGAAAACATTAGATTTTTCTTTTCTGTTACGTGCAGTTTTGTAAGTTGGTGACAGAGTCTCTAAAATATCTCAATTAGTCTTCACTACTTAAAAATCACGTATATCTTACTTGCACCTCAGTTGGGATCAGTTTGCATTTGTACTCTTGCATTTGTACTCTGTTGCATGCTTTTGTCATACAATGCAATTCCCAGCATGCTTCTCTCTAGATACTTCTGGCTGGTTATCTGTAAATGAGCCCAGGCACAGCATGAGAAGTTCACCTTGTTTTCCTTTTCTCCTATGATGACTTGGGGTCTGAGGATTAAATTGCTGATTGAAGCTAGCAGTAAGGAATTTATGGACTAGTTTGTCTTTAAATGGCCCGCCTTACAGCGAGTGTTGCTGGGGGTTACTGAGAAACAGCAGGGTGTCAAGAAAACTATTATTGTTGGGCATAGACCACATACTTGGTAACACCGATCAAATAAATGAGTTGAGAGCCTCTTTTAACCAATTGAGGATTTTGAATGTAAGAGATATGTCCTAAAAAGCTTCAGCAAAGTTTTCAGAAACATTCCTTACGTCCAGTTGCTTTGTATTACACAATCAAAATGCACCCACTCCTGTGTAAAGATAGTCAGCAAGTGTTCTTGAGTAAATACAATGAATCGGTGTATTGCTTTATTGTATTTACCATTTCATTCATATGTAGATCAAAGGTTTGACATTTGACCTGCACGTGACATCACTTACAGTTGTTTTTTTTTTTTTATAAAATATTTTAAAAATAAAATGCATTCCAAGTCAACCCCTTTTTTAAGCGTAAATATACACTTTATTGGGATAAAGAATACTGGGGCTTTTCAGGTGCTGAACCACACATCAAAAACCTCAGAAAAGCATCAGTTTTATTTGTACGTAAATTAGGATAAAAACTTCATAAAATGATACCCCTTGTAGGGCAGAGAACAAAGGGGTTAGTCAAATTACACTTAGATGCATTAAATAATATCAGTTGCTGCTACTAACACACTAATTCCCCTCAAGAAACCCACCAGCCAGCATTTGATAGATTAGACTGGGGGTTTGTGGTGTGTTCCCCTTCTGCGTTTTTGTTGGGTCCGACATGAGGCAGGCAGCAGCTTTTGAGCATGCAATCATCCCTTTTCAAATACTACATATCCTGGTGTCATTCTTCTGTGATACCCTGTTGCACATTTAATTACAGCTGGACACCAGGTATATTATACTATAAGTAGAAGTACAGATTTTATTAGATATTTACAAGCCATTTGGCGATTTGCATGTGACGGCTCATGGTGCATCTTATCTCAAATGGCTATCTAAAGGTGCCCATACACTGCTCCGATTCTCGTACGAGAATCGCGGGAAATCCCGCGATCGTACAAGAATCGAACAGTGTGAACGAAGACGTGCGACCGTTTCTACTGTACGGTCGCACGTCTTTTGTCTAAGGAGCATGTTGGAAAACCAGCCGAGAATCGTACATTTTCGGCTGGTTAGAACGGTGCTCGGGAGACAAATGCCGAATGGGCCGGTGTGCGCACGCTGCCCGTTCAGCAATGCGGTAATCGGAAGCCTGCCCCTCGGGGGCGGGCTTGCGATGATCGAGAGTGCGATCTGCCTGTCCAAGATGGGCAGATCGTACGCTTTTTTAATCACTTTACAACCATCGCAAGACTAAGGTCTTGCGATGGTTGTACAGTGTATGGCCACCTTTAGAAAGTGTAATATGGTTTTTCAAGATCTGGATACACCCTGTAAACCAGTTGAGTGTGCACACCTGATGGGAGGTTGGTTCAGGGGCATATCACGCAAATAAGAAACGGCAACATCACCAGACCTCTGAAAATGACTGGACATTTTGAATCAGCCCATCCTTTTCTTTAAGCCAACTATGTAAGAATTGGGAAGTTTCAACATTATCAGGAATGTAGGTCTATTAGAAGGAGTTGATTTGTTCTGCCTGCCTGGTTCCTCTCACTCTTGGTCCTCTTATCGTGTGTGTGAAATATATATCTATGTAGATGTATAGATATAGAAATATATTTTAGATATATATGATTTCTAATCTATACAATGTAGGCTGGTGGGTTTCTTGAGGGTAAATAATGTGATAGTATAAATAACTGATATGATTGAATACATTTGAGTGTAATTTGACCAAGCCTTTGTTCTATACCCTACAAGGGGTATAACCTTATGAATAATTAGATACTAGGGATGTGGTGCTGACCTTTTATGCTGGTCTAAAAACCTTGTATATGTGTTATGTAGTCTAGAGTTAAGGAAAGCGTAATAAGAAACTATATAACTAATTGGCCATAATTAACTCCTTACTCCCCTTAGCTGTTATTTTACTGCTGTTGTTTTTTGTTTTGTTTACTTTTTTGACTTACATTTGCTCTCTTTGTTACTTTTTTCAGTGTCGCATAACAATAGAAAGCGCCAAATTGAATAAAAACCACTTTAAAAAAAATAAATAACTGCCATTATTTTACCACACACGTCATTTTTGTGTTTTGGTTTTTCTTGTTAAAAAAAAAAAATCACTGGTCAAAACAGAAATAAAACTTTTTTTTAACTTTTTTTATTTAATATTCGAAACTATAGATTCCATAAAAAATTAAATAATTGCTGCAAAATAATA